TCTCAGCACCTTCATACTGAGGACCAAGCCTACAGCACATGAACCATTAGGGAAACTAAAACATCCAAGCCATAGGCAGTGAGCATAGTTAAAAACTTTGTACTGTATCCTTGAATTTGCTAAGAGTAGATCTTAAGTGTTTTGATATCTCTCTCTCTCTCTCTCACACACACACACACACACACAAACACACACACACATACACACACAAATAGTAACTGTGAGGTGAAGGATATGTTAATTAACCTCATTGTGGTAATTATTTCACTATGCATATGTATATCACAACACCATATTTTATAGCTTAAATACATACAACAATGGAAATTTTTTAGCTGGCTCTTTGTGGAAAAATTTAAATATTCTTACTCAAGACTAAGTAAGTTTTAAATGTTTTGCTTCTCCATTAAAATGAAGACAAGGCCTTCACCTGATTGCATATGTAATTGCCTTCTCAGCCCCACTATGAGGTGGATATGCTGCTCTAATAGCTAGGCCCAAGGTCAAAGAAACAGAATCCCCAGAGTGTTCCACATGCCAATAACCCTTCCATCTTTTACAGAAGCAGCATCCAAAAACACCAAAAGGAAGAATTTGATCCATAATACATATGCACATATATATGCAGTGTTGTTACATTACTAACTTACCAAATTTTAGTGAGGTATTACTTTTTATATCTTTACATCCCTCATGCACTTATGTGCTAGGTACTGTGGAGACAATACTGAACAATCAGAACATGGACATTGGCCTTAGGGAACTTACAGTTTAGGGAATAAAAACAGTAATTAAATTTGCAAATATATGGGCAAGTACAGGGTATAATGAGAACATCTGGGAAAGTATTTAGCAAACATGGGGAATCAGGCAGAGGTATTTTCCAGAAGGAAGAATGTCTATATTGAGAACTTGAAAGTATAAGGGAGAGAGGCTTGATTGGTGGAGGTGGGGGTCAGGCAGATGAAGCAGCCTGAGCAAAGGCCTGAGAGAATGGGGACACGTGCCAGGAACTACAGAGGTTCAATGTCGTCCAAATGTCGTGGGAGGTGGGAGATGAAGAGCAGAGGAGGTGGATAATGACAGAGAATGCTGGAGAAGGTAGGGTGAGGGGGCCCAATAACAAAGAGCCTTGTAATGCATGTTGAGAAACTTGGACTATATCTCAAGGACCAAGAGTAACTTTTAAAGCATAACTTTGGAGTTTTAGCTTCCTCATCTTAAAATGAAAATTATAATATTCTACCTACCTTGTAATTATTGAAAGAATGAGAATAAACATTGAGCTTTCACTAGATATCAAACACTGCTTAATGCTATCTAAATGGATTAAATTTTTTAGTCTAGCAGGTATCTAACACTGAGGCACATGAGAGGTAATTTATGTATGGTCATACAGCTAAAGGGAGTAAGGATTTGAACTCAAAAGCCCAGAGAATTTGATATTAAACATTGTTATACTACTTCTATGTATGTAGATTATCTAACATATAGCAGGTTCTATACTTGATATATGAAATTAACAAAAGTAAACAGAGCTTTCAATTTTGTGGGGAAAGAAAAACAGGTCCCATGGTACTTTTTCACATAACTCTGATTCAGATCATTAACTGAAAATAACTTTGAGTTTTGAAAAAGTGCTTTTACCACATATGAGAAAAAACACTTTGTCTTACAATAATTCTAGCAATGTACAAAAGTAGAAGGAAGGGAAAATATAGATTTCTCCTTAATCAAATGTTAATGATAAAGCCAGGCACAGTGGCACAAACCTGTAATTCCAGCAGCTTGGGAGTCTTAGGCAGGAATATCATGAGTTCAAAGCCAGCCTCAGCAAAAGCAAGGCACTAAGCAACTCAGTGAGATCTTGTCTCTAAATAAAATACAAAATAGGGAAGGGGTTGTGGCTCAGTGGTCAAGGGCCCCTGAGTTCAATCTCCAGTGCCCTCCCTGGCAAGTTTTAATGATGAACTATTCTGTTTTAAAAGTAATTCTTTCTATTGTTTTGGGGTAAGAAAGCCAACAGCTGAAGAGGAAATTGTGTGGGGTGCTGATGCCAATGGGCAATAATTCATATTTCTTCCATTAAGTACTAGGGATCAAACCAAACCCAATACCCCTTATACCAAGTAAAAATCATTAGTATCCATGTAGGAGGTGCTTCCCCAAAAGTAATGCACTGTATTCACATGGCAAATGTTTATGGCTAGACTTCAAGTGGTGGCATTGCATGGCACTAGGCAAACCCATAATCCTGCAACTCAAAATGACTGCTACACCAAGGAATCTATCTAGTGTCTATGCTGTATTCTATTACTTAGTTTTCGTAACACCAACACAAAATCTTCAAGAAATATGGCATGGGTGGGTGGGTAGGTAAAAGAGTAAATAGAAAGAGGAACACACACACACACACACACACACACACACACACACACACTTGTGAGGTTTTAACCAACTATTTCCTCTGAAGTGATTAATTTATAACTAAAGAAGCGTAAGGTCCATCAAAATCAAGAAAGTGTCAGGCACCTAAGATATGGAAGGGCCAAAGGGGCGGAGGAAGTTGATGGACTCTGGGAATAGGTTAGAGGACACTAAAGAGAAAACCAAAGGTGGTTATGTGTCTGGGGCAGTAGGACATGCCTATAATCCCAGCGGTTTGGGATGCTGAGACAGGAAGATCCTGAATTCAAAGCCAGCCTCAGCAACAACATGGCGCTAAGCAACTCAGTGAGACCCTATCTCTAAATAAAATACAAAAATAGGGGTGGGAATGTGGCTCAGTGGTTGAGTGCCCCTGAGTTCATCCCCAGTACCGACCCCAATAAATAAATAAATAAACAAATAAATAAAACCAAAAGTGGTGATGTTATCAATGATTAAATCAAACCATTAGCTTACTTTGGTCCTAGTTTCTATGAAGTTCAAAGTCTAAGTATGGAGTATTCCTTGTCATTACACAGGTTTTAATTTTTAGTTATTTCTTTGGAGGAGGGTTTCCTAAATGTCCTCCTTAGAATCGATTGTGTCAAATGATAAATGGTAGCATCTGAATAAAGCTTGTTAGGATAACTGACTATGTCTCAAAGATACATACCTCATTTTTTTCACATTTCTTTGAGCTAATAGAAATTATTAGCAAAATTTGACAATAATATTAGAAAAAAATGTTTTAGGCAGATTCCACTTACCTAATATAAAATTTTAGAAACTAAATTCTGTGCCTTTTTTTCCCCTATAAAATGAGGATATCTAGTGACTGGAGTTGTGGCTCAGTGGTAGAGCACTTGCCTAGCATGTGTGAGGCAGTGGGTTAGATTGTCAGCACTGCATATAAATAAATGAATAAAATAAAGGTCTATCAACATCTTAAAAAATCCTTAAAAAATAAATACATCTACTGTAAAAATGATGAGAATTGAAGGAGGTGCATGGTAGGCATTCAGTCTATCCCTGCCTGTCAGTCTGTGGATGCTGAAGTTCTGGTGGGTCAAGGTTACTACCTCATAAGCACAAAAGGCTCCTCTGGAAGCAAGTGGTTGGCTGGTACAGTATAAAGAGCCTTGGCAATGATAGATCTTACTTAGGCTTCCCTGGAAGCTACTTGACTAGCACAAAAGCTTATTATAGCTTACATATTCTTAATATTCACAAATTATTCACCATTGCTCATAATTCATTATGAGGGCCCACTGCATAGATAATTCATTCTGAATCTACTTCTTAGACAGAAAAGCCTTGCAACCATAAAAATAGTACTTGTTCTAAGGCACTGTAGGGATAACCTTAGGCAATTCAGAAATACACTTATCTCCTTCTTATAGAAGGAAATTTATATTATTTGTGACAATATAAATTTGCCTTGTCAGCAATGTTTTTTTTCTGTCTAACCTCCTCCTCTTCTTTCCACACACACAAAAAAACCATCTGCTCCATCTGGCTTTTCTTTTGTGCCCAGACATTTGTGTCCCAAACATAAGACAAATTAGCATTGCCAGGAATGCACATATGCAACAAAACATGTAACTAAGTCTGTGAAGATTAAAACCTACTGTAGTTGTCTTTTTTCCACACCCCTCAACTTTCCAGGTCAATTTCCAAATTTCTGAAGGTACCATTTATATAAAGACTATTTGTACTTTTTTCTTTCTAGATCTATTAAACCCAACAGATTAAGATCAGTCTTTTTGAGCTGGGGTTGTGCCTTCATGGTAGAGCGCTTGCCTAGCATGTGTGAGGTACTAAGTTCCATCCTCAGCACAACATTAAAAAAAAATAAAATGAAGGTATTGTGTCCATCTACAACTAAAAAAAAAAATTTAAAAAGATTAGCCTTTTCAATAAGGCTACACTGTAGTTTCCAGAAATGCTTGATTGTTTGATACTAAACTATGCAGCATTTTCCTCCATACTAATTAAGCAATGATATATTTTGTATGTCAGAAGGGAAGGAAATTGTATTAAAAAGAAAGGGTCTTAGAAACTCAAGTTATTTAAGCTACCTGTGAGTCAGATATTAAAATAATGTTTTATTTAAAGTGGCGGCCTTTCTAAAAAAATATAACCTATTGGACATGTAGTAGGCACATAAAATTACATTCAACTATGTATAAATGTTGGTTTCCATTAAAGTACTAAGTGAAGACCACTTTTCTTCCCAGAGTCTCAGCCCCCAAACCTCTTTCCCTTCCTTTACCATGAGCCTTTTTGCAGAGTGGTTCTACCCTAAGGTTTGCAAGCACAAGGGAACCATGTTCAGTGGAAATTAGAGCCACTGTTTCACATGTGCTGTACCATACAGTTTATATCCACAGTTTTGCTTCAGCTCACTTCTGACTTGAAAACTTTGGTGACATTATTTGAACACTAGAAGTTTGTCATTAGAAATCTAGTTCAAGGCCCTGATTTTACAAATACACAGAAAAAACTAAAGGCCAAGAGTGAAGACTTACCCAGTCATGTATCCATTTAACAGTAAAACAGGTTGAACACACTTCTTAGTTTTTGTGAGTATAATTTAATGTAGTTTTTGTTTAAGAGAATTTAGGTGAAGTATTTATCAATAGTGTTGGTGATAGTATGTGGTTAATACCACATTGGGTAACAACAGTTCAGATATTAACTATTAGAGAAATCGACAGCCATATTCATAAGAGTCAAGTCTGTTTTCACAGTAAAACTATTTAATAACTTGTCATCTATATCTTATCACTTCTCTTTAACAATAATTTAGATGATCTCTAATCTCAGTGATCTTATGAAAGTAAAAGATATATGTATTCATTTTAACAGTATACACAATTAGCAGTTAACTTTCCATTGCTGCTAAGACAAATCATCAAATTTAATGGCTTAAACAACAGAAATTACTAAATTACTAATCTTAAAGTGCTGTAGATCAGTTCTGTAGGTCAGAGGTCCAACCTGGGACTCACCAGGCTATAAGCAAGATGTCAACAGGGCAGCATTCCTTTCTAGGGGCTCCACAGAAGAATGCTTCCTTGCCATTTAGTTTCTAGAAGTCACTTCCTTCCATGACCAATGGCCCCTACCTCCATCTCTAAAATCAGCAATGTGGGCTCTCTCTGACCTGCTTCTACTGTCACATCTCTCTGAAATGCTCTTCACTTTTAAGGACTTTTTTGATTAAATTGGTTACACATGGATAACACAGGAGGTTCTCCCCATTTCAAGGTCTATACATTCAACCAGATCTGCAAAGTCTCCTTCTCCCTATCTTCACAAGTGCAAGGAATTAGGACATGAATATATATAGGCACCATTATTCAGCCTACCATAAGCACAAACTGTAGGATACTTTTTCTTATTACCCACTTTATCTTCAGAAAAATTAATTTAATTATGTTCTTATAGTAAATATTACATACAGAGAATATATGTGGTGAAAAATGAAGCTTAAATTATTTTTTTACTGAAGCAAACTCAGTAAAGATCAAGACATGCCAATCATGTCACAGTCCAGTGGTGTAATATGGAATCAAATCCTTAGGGATACTCCAATTTTAATTCTCTCTCTTCTAGCACCATTTTGCTTTACTAAAACAAATTGCTATTTTCAATTCTGAGTTCAAAATTAATTTTAAAAAATTATTTTAAATGTTTCCTAATAGCTATTTATTAAAGAAGAAATGTACCTACTTCAAAACATTTTAAGATGCAAGTTAGGTATGGTGATGCCTGCCTAAAATCCCAGCAACTTGGGAGGCTGAGGCAGAAGGATTTAAGTTCGAAAATTAGCAAGACCCTGTCTCAAAAAATAAAAAGGACTGGAAGCATAGCTCAGTAGTAAAGTATCCCTGGCTCCAGTCATCACTACAAAAACAATCAATGATAGTCAAATGGTGGATAGAAAATAAAAGCAAATACACCATAATTCTCAAATTAGATACAACAAAAATAATTAAACACTAAGATAAATGTTAAATGTTGGCACTTTAGGAAATAATCTTGAGTCTAATTACACTTATGTATACACTCCAAAGAGAAATCCTGGCCACTTTTTAAAGTTTCTAGAATCTGAAAACACTATTTATTTCAAATTTTGTTTTAAGTATGCTGTTTAACATTGCTCTCATTTATTAACTAGAATTAAATAACATTAAGAATTCAGCCTAAGTTCAGCACAAAGTAAGCTTTGTAAAAATTACATGATTAAGAATGATTTAAGGCTCAAAATGGGCAGCAATTTTAAGAGAAAGTAATAAACAAAATTTTAAAGAAGATGTGTACATGTAAATGCAAAAAAAGAATGACCTGGGATGATATCAACTAAAGGGTTGTCACAACTCTCCTTTCTTTTGTAGAACTGAGGTTTGAACCAATAAATGCCTTACCACTAAGCTACATCCAGCTCATTTTATTTTTAATTTTAAGACAAGGTCTCACTAATTTGCTTAGGGACTCACTAAGTCGCTGAGGCTGGCCTGGAACCTGTGATCTTCTTGCTCCAGTCTTCTGAGTTGCTGGGATTATAGGTGGGAGCCACCACGCCAGCTCCAAGTCTCCTTTCTAACCTGAGACTGAGGTTCTGGGAAACCAGAATTTGGCAAGCGAGTCAAAAGGTTACCCCTTAATTACAGGCCTGGAGCAAAAGCTAATCAAGACCACACTGTAGGTGGAAGTAACCTTGTGAAGCAAGTGACACCCAAGAAAGTGAATGGTGGATAAGAATTGAACCAAGCATCTAGGCAGATGGAACAAGTCCATTCAAGATGAAAAAGCTGAAGCATTTTCCTGAGGAAAGAGGAGAACATGGATACTCGGGTAGCATAGGCAGCCTTCTGCAGTGCATCTCTCACTGGCTTTGTGCCAGGTTGTTAAAAAAACCGAATAGGTTTGACAGTTATGAGAAAAAGGAACAAAGGAGCAGAAAATGACAGGTGCTTGATTTTGTTACAGAAACAAAGAAAAGCAGAATCATTAGATTAATCCAGTGGTTCATAAATCTGAACAAACATTAGAAGTTTTCGGGCATTCCTTTAAAATGCAAAATTCTAGGTTCCTCCGGTCTTTAAATATTCTGACAACATAGGTCTGAATGATTATAATGTTCAGTCAAATTTGGGAAACACCAGATTATGGTTCAGTTTAATAGATTAGCCTCTGAAGTACAATTTATAGACTATTATCAATTTATATTATCTTACAAAGTAACACTGTGAAGTGGCTGGTTTAGAAAAACCACAAACATAAAATATAACCACATATCTTTGTACAATAAATAATATCTGTAGATGTCTGAAAATATTTTTAAAACTACAAATTCAAAGTAAGCAACATACAGCTTATTTAAAATGTAAAAGACTTTTTGAAAAAAACAGAAAACTGCTTTCAAGTTTCTCGATTTGAAATTTAGAAATTATCTCATACTGATACTATAGAGAAAATAAGACTTTATTTCAGAAAATTAAGTCTTTTCATCAAAATTGAAGAATCTGCATGATCATTAAATACTGTCAGCACTATTTTCCAACATTTTCCATCGTTTTTAACTGAAGCCGCACATCTGAGTATTTTGAATTATATAAACATATCAATGGTAGTCAAAGACTAACATTTATATGATGCTTATTCAAGGGACTCTTGAGATGATACTCTAGCAAAACAGGTTACAGGATTATTTGGATTTCATGATGAGTTGGTATATGAACTCCAGAATTCATGGAAGAAATTAAATGTTAGAATTTATTTTTCATCAAATGAAAGTTCTGCTCTTTATATTATTTATAAAATGGCTATAAAGGCTTTATTGTAAGGGATTATCAAAAAAGATGTCCCATTATATACCATGCAAGATACAAAAAATCATGGTTTACAAGTAACTGTTGAGCAAATAAGGGAAACATGGTTTTCCTTTGTTATGGACTTCCCAAATCAAAAATAATTTTCTTGTTACAGTCATCTTAAGAGTTAATAGAAAATTACATCCTTAAATTAAGAGCTTTAACTTCTTTAGCTTAAAAAAAGGAATAAGAATGGATGATTACAACTATAGTTTTAAAATATGTTGCTCTGGGGAAAAGTCTTGATTCACAACTTCATTCGTACAGCTTTTTCTTTGTTTGCTCACTATAAAGACAATCCACTGTTACTGTGAGGACAATTTCTGATTCAGTTCCAATGCTCTTGTATCTCTGTGAGTTTCAGCATTTTTTACCAACACCTATGGGAAATCACATACAGGAATGTTAGGATTTTATTAACAGTATCCCAAGGACAGCAGTCTTAAAAAGACAACATTAAACTACACAAGAAAAAGTAATTATGTGCAATTTTTCAGTCATTTTTGCTGAAATAAACTGTTCAACCAAAGCTAACTTAAGAGAGAAGCCCAATTTATTAGTATAGATGTCAATATTTTGATTGTTACATTGTTGGTATGTAAGAAATTAAAGATTTTTTTTTTTCGTGGCTTAGTTGACATTCCTGTCACCTCTAAACCCTTAACCAAAATGACTACTTTATGTATAGAACTGTCTAAATGACACTGGTCCCTGTTAAAGTCACAGCTTAGAATCTAGGCTCTAGATTTTATCAAGAATGTTTTCATGATTTTCAAATTTCTCAAATTAGAAGATTCAATTCCAGCTGATAATCTAATTCCTAAAATATTTTTGGTTGTTCACTATCAAACACTGAAGGATCTGAGAAGCTAACAACATAGCCTGCCACCATTGCACGATACTGCCAGAAGATGAAGGACTCTTAGCTCAAAGACAAAGGTCTTCATTACTAATGATATGTCAAGTGACATGACCATCAACTATTCCCTTGAATGAGTTTCAGCATTTTATACCAACACCTGTAGATGGATATACACAATTTCCCACCTACATAATGGGATGCATTTACAAGAGGGAGGCCCTGAGCCTAGATATTCAGATTTTTTATAATGGGAGTTTAATGTGATTAAGTAGTGCCTACCATTTGCTCTGGAGGGAAACATTATCTTTGTCTCCCAAGGCTGTTCACTGTACAAACATCCTTAAAAAGATAATCTGGAACAGAGTAGTTAGGTCCCCTATTCATAGGATGTTTAGAAACACATGGTAAATAAACTATCTCCCAAAATTCATATGTAGTCTACCTTTTTGGTTTGTAATGTGTTGTTTATAATACCTTTCTCCAAGCATTGCTTTCTTTAGAACTTTTTAAATACTGTATATTTCATCAAAAGGTAAACAATATTTACCTGTTGGAACTGAAAAGGGTTTTCATTAGTTTGACTGTTAGTTTTGAAATTGTTGTCTAAAGTTATAAGAATTCTAACCCTTTCCATTATTATAAGCTCTTCCTTTTTCAAAAGAATTTCAGATACATGTTTATATATTTAGATACCAAGCCATTCCATGAGGAGCAAATATTATAACACACATTTTACCAAAAAAGGAAGGAAAAGCAAAACAATTTTTTTAAAGATTATGTGAGCATCCCATTAGATTCTACTACCTTTAACCCTATCCTATCTACCTATATGCTTAAGTTTAAATATTAATAAAAATAAACAATTAGCACCCAGCACCTTCTTTTATCCTTTTACTTATTCTACATGTCATATTAGGGAAATGGATTACTATAGTTTAAACCAATGGTTCTCAACCATGGGCAATTATACCCCAAGGATCATCTGACAACGTCTAGAAAACATTTTTGGCTGGTGCAATTAGGGTAGCAGGGAGGAGGACAGTGCTAATGGCATCTACTGGTTAGAGGCCAGGGGTGCTGCTAAACATCCAGCTTTGTTCAGGATGGCACTCATTACTGCAAAGAATTATCCAGTCCAAAACCTTTATCAATAGTGCTGAGGTTGAGAAATTCTGGATTAAACAGATTGTATAGGATTTGTCATACTCCTACCTCAGGAAAAGAGAAACAAGCAGATGCAAACAACAATGTTAATATGAGATCAATATGAACTTACAAATCCTTTTTTCTCTGACTTAGTACTTTGGAGTTTTCATTTAGACTTGCTTTTTGATAAAACATTTTATCCATTCAGTTCTAAAGATAGAGCAAAAGTAAAGAAAGAGAGGATAGCTAAATCATCCCATTCTAGAAAAACAAAATGCTGTTTCTTGGTGCCACCTCAGGTTGAGTTTAGATGGACATACACATGTACTGATATAAATTTCACTTAATACAGACTTTAGATGAGTGCCTCTCAACTTTTTATAAACCTCAGTACATCTGATGAATGATTTTTAAACTTGTGATGTTTTGGTTCACAAATAAAATACTGACAATCAGGCCAGTTCCCTAAAATTCTACTCTGCTCTTTCATGTAAGAAAGCTTCTAAGAATACATTGATAGATGTGAGGATAGTGATGAATCTGTTAAATTTTATTATAGGAAATTAAAAACTGAACCCTCTTGCTACCTATAGTTAGGATCAATTATTTAGAACATACTTCACAACTGACCACGATTCCAATGTTTTAAACCAACACCCTAGACTGGCAATACTTGCTATTAGTTTGGATTTTGGTTTTGAAATGGGTATAGCTCAAAGAAAGCTTAGTACAGCTTTCCTACATATAGGCATCTTGCATATACACAGGTTGAATTTATACTAACCTATTTTTAAACACAACTTTCAAAATCCTGCTATTTTTGTCAAAAACCCCAGCTTTTAATATTACAATACTAAAACGGGAATTTTATAAGTAACCCATGGTAAAATGCAAACTACTTAGTTAACCTTCAAGTGATGTGCACAATTGTTTCTCTACTTTCAGTGAATGCAATGATAGATACTGTAGTAATTTGTTGGCCAAAGAATTATGTAGTTCATTTTTTAAAAATCCATCATAAAGTAGACTAATTTTGAAAAACAACTCTAAAGCTCTTAGGTCCAACATGAAAATATTTTAAATAAAGTCAAAGCCTTACATCAATGAGCTCATAGTCATTTTTGAAGTACAGGTGTCTTAACAGGTACCAACGTGCAGCTGATACAATAGATTTCGGATATCCAGGTTGATATACCACTCTCTCCAAAAGTCGCCGAGTCTCTCTGGGAAAAAGATATTTATAATTAAATTCAAAGCATGTAAATTAACAGGAGGTATTTCATATAATAGTCTTAACATATCATTTTTCTCATTCTTTTGAAGATGTCATACATGATTACTTTGTGATTTTTTTATTCAGATAATAAAAATTAATAACAATGACTAATATTTATTAAGTGCTTATAATGCACTAGGTATTTTATAATGTAGTATGTGTTTTACACAAATGGTTGTAATTTAATATTCACAACCTTATTAGGTGGGTTGCTGTTATTATTTCCACTGCAGATAAGCAAATTAAGGCTCATTCCAAGGGGTATGGGGAGAAGATCCTTATTTTATGAATACTTCTGGGTGAGGTACCTCTTATCTTTTCTGAAAGTAGGCAGAAAAATAAATCAATAATACAATGGTGACATATATTAGAACAAGAAATATTTAATATCTACACTAGAGGTTAAGTACATAATATTGGGTATTAATGGATGTTTTCAAGGATATGTACAATATATGAACTCATACAATAACATGTTGATTTACCATTACAATTTTATTTTTTCTTTACTAATTCGTTAACATGAGATAGAAGGATATTATAGGTAGCAATTGTTTGAAACAGGAACTAAAGAACTTGTCTTGAAGAAGTTTTGACATAGGGATGGTATAATGAACACACAGTTTTTTTCTTAGACTATACATTTATTTGGGCTGGTTTTAGAAATATTCATATTTATGGGAGGTGTAAGTTGCCCATAGTATGCACCAGCAGAAAAGAGTTCATTAGGAAGCTCATAGCCTAAAACATTTCTTGATGAAATAAGTCACACATAAAATGGCCAAAAGTAAATATTAATAAACAGTCTTGGAAATGCTAATTAGTCACAGGGTCTTAATTCTTCCTTCATCTCTACTTTGTGATGTTTTTTGCCACATATTTATATGTATTAAACTCTACTTCTACAATAACTATTATGTTTCAGTAATATTTGTTCCAAAATCACTAGTCTACTTTTGGTTGCTTTGTTATCAGAGCTAGATGTTATTTTAAGAATTTTAAAATACTCTTGACTACTTTTTCATCCATATTACCTCTAAATAATTATCTTCACGTTTATTTTGTCCATACCCCTGACCTCCAATAAAAACATTGCTAATCTTTTTATATTTTAATTTGAGTAGCTTTCGGATTTTCTAGTTATAAAACCATGCTGTTTTCAAATGATATGTCAGTTTTTACAATATATATGACTTTTTCCATACTTCACTATATGAGCAAGAACATCTATTAATGTAGCCTTGACCTTGAATTTTTCTGGTTTTATTTCTTGGCTCATCCTAAAATAGCAGAGAAAAAAAAAACAAAAAACCAAGGACTGCTTCACTGAAATGCTGTGATGCTACAAATCTCATATTTGTAGCTACTTAGTAAACTACTTTTAAACAAATATAAAATTTTATTTTTTCCTTTACCAGATTACTAGAATCAGCTGTTTTAGAGTAGAGGTATGGGAATAACTCCGAAGTTTGTTAAACTAGTTCATTAAGCTAATTATAAATCTTTCCTTGACTGTTTCTTAGAAGGCTTTAAAAAAATGTACAAAAATCTCTTCATACCGTGCCCCCATTTTGCAGTTGAATTGTAACAAAGCTTGTAAAAAAACAGCTAGTGGGCAGAAACAAAGTTTCAAGGCCTCAGTTGTAGCCTCTTGAACCAAGGATGGCCAGTGATCACTGGAAACATTAGCCTGTAAAAATATAAAGTAAATATTAACGTTTCTGGCATAAAGTATAAAATTCAATATAATTATTAAAAAATAATGTAAGATCTAATTCCTGCTTTTAAGGAGTGACAAAACAGAGTAGACTCAGTGAGAGAAAGGGCTTATAAAGGAGGCATCATTTAAATATGCTGACATATTTGTTAAAAGGAAATATAGCATTATACTACTAAAGTGAGTAAAATCTATCAGTTAGTAAGCCTTTGGTCTACCAAATAAACAAAACATAAATAACATGATTAATTCTTTAACAGCAGTGATAAAGTTATATATTTCAAAAATTATTTAACGAGAGAGGAAACCTGAATTGTAGTATTTTAATAAAAATCACAGTATAGAAGGTAAAAAGCAGATCAGAGAGAAAAAATTAAACCAAAGTTATCAATATTGAAAACTTAAAAAAAAATTCACCTATGGAAGAAATGTTTATATACATAACGTTGGTTACAAACTAATTTTATAATATGTACTGACTCAAAAATATTATACCAAAGTATCTCCCTAGAAACAGTAACTGAAAATAAATGCTAACTAAATTACATAAGAAAAAAACCTAATTTTTTTTCATTAAAAATATCAAATTATAACCAAGATTTAATTACAGGTATTCATTATATACATTTGAATAAAGTTGATATCATGAGTCAATATCTAGTTCACTTCACATTTTAATAAAAGTCAACATATGAATCAATATACAGTCCATTGAAACACTAAATCATACGAAAGAAAAATGTTAGAGAAATATTCTCTGAGTACAGTGCTGGCAATAGTAATTATATAAATTATATAAAATTTGTATTATAATTTCCTTATATAAAGGAAAAAGGTACTATTTATAATAAGCACACTAAACAATGTGATCAGAGTACACATTTATTTTCATTTCCCCTATCTCTTTAAAATTTATTATCTGAAGAAGACATTTTCTCTGTGCCTAGATAGAAATTAGAGTAGGTCCCATAACTCTTACATCAGCAATTTTTTTACATTCATTTACAAATATGGTTCCAATTAAAATATCTTTCAGTTTCCAACATTTTGATCTGCATGCAAAGGTAACAGCTGCATCCCTCTCCCTACTCCCCTCAGCTCCAACGCTAGGGTGTGGTTACAGCAACAATTGGTAGTTTGCCCCTTCCTCTCAACACACCCATCTCTTCTTGCTAATGGTAGTTTCAGGTCCCTATGGAAATTTCAGAAGTGTATTTGATTAGAAGCATAGTAAGAAGGTATTACGTTATCCAGGCCTGATGGATATCTAAAGCACTTTTTTTTCATGCTGGCTTTGTCAGACACTCCAAACTTAATGGGTAGTTGCTCATCTGCAGGTACCCTATATAACTTGGGGGGCCCAGTGGAAAAGAAGAATAGGGTCCTTTGTTCAAAAATTAAGGAGTTCAAATGGTGACTACAAAATATTAAACCAAATGTGGAAACCTGTGTGACTGCATGGGACATATACCCTACTCATCTATAATTCTACTAACCTGGGAAAATGTACAGATGTTTCTTGACTAATGATGGAATTATGTTCTAATAAACTCACTGTAAGTTGAAAATATCAAAAGCCAAAAACTCATTAAAAATACCTAATCTGCCAAACATTACAGCTTAACAACCCAGTACACTGTAGAGCATTGGTTGTTTACCTTCATGAGTGCTTATATAAATGAGATGCAGCTTGCTGCTGCTACTCCTCAGTATCAAGACAAAGTATTACACTGTATGCCACTAACCCAGGAAGGATCCAAATTAAAAAAATGTTGAGTACAGTTTCCATTACACACACACACACACACACACAGTTAAGTTTCTTTAATGTTATGAAAGCTGTGTATGTATGTATATCCATACAAAGCTTTCACACCATTAAAGGTAAGAAATCATGAAGTTGATTATCTTAAGTCTAAGGTCATCTGTATTATATGCCTCTTCCTCCACATCCTCTAGCAATGTGGAAAAACCTCTAGCTGCCTTTCTGTTGAGACCCCTTTAACCCTATAAAGTGGCTCTACCCAACAGGAACTAAGCTAACTCCTGTGCCAGTCCACTCTCACACCTGGCATCACTCATTTCTAGACCTAACAAACTCAGAGTGCTGCTGATCCCATCTGACAATATTCTTCACTCCCTCCTCCCTGTACATAGCTATTCCTACCTACCTGGGGAGTTCATCCACCAATGACTACTCTCTTAGAAGCTAGCAGTCATTTTCCAAAACTCTGGCAACTCTCTTCTCTCTTAGCCTTACACTGAGGGCCATAGCCTCTGAAACCTGTGATAGTTACCAATCCATATGCTTGAGGCCTACAGAGTCCTTTGTTCAAAAATAAAGGATTTTTAACAAAAATCCTCAGGGCCTCAAAAGAACACACCCCAAAGCAACTGTCTCTAGTTACACCCCTTCTTCACCTTAGTGTGTGTCTGGGAAAAAAACAGGAGGCAAGAGCTCTAACCAAAGAAATTTCTTCATAAATCCTTTTCAATTCCACTCTTCTAATGCTTTTATATCTTCCTTGTAGGTTAATCTTGTTTCAAAAATTGGTATCTTGATCTGATATCTCACTTTGGAATCCCAGAGCCAGTATTTTAGATAACCTTTACTTTAGAACTGTTCACATATTATCATATATACTATAGTTGATCATAAAACAGTATTCATTCTCCTTACACTGCCAGGTGTTGACCACAGAAATATGGCATCACCTTCATTCCTTTATAATAACTCCTGAGTGTCAAATCTTTTAACAAGAACAAATTAGATTTGGCTAGTGCTTTAACATTTCTAAAGACATTAGTAAATGTTACTTCATTGGAAATTTACAACAATCTTACAGGGATGAAGTATATATTATCTCCAGTAGTATAAAACAAATGAG